ATCCACTGGAGTTTGTAAGATCTGCCTTTCAAGATCATGACGTTTGCTTGGTTGCCAGGTTTGTTCACTCTTTTCACTTGGACTGATTTTTTTTTTTTGTATACCTAATTTATAATGCCGAATGCTGGCTTTTTTTAGCAGTTGCCACTGTCCATGACTTACACATGTAGGTCAGAACAGGCACATGGGTAGAGAGGTATACCGCCTTTTCTATTTGTATACCGCCATTTCTTTTGTGCTAAGAAATTCTCGGTTAATGACCTAGAAAAGTGTCCCAGCTGCTGCTGTTCCAAAGCCAACTCTACGGTAATGTCTCAGTTCAGCCATCTCTACGGTAATGTCTCAGTTCAGCCATCTCTACGGTAATGTCTCAGTTCAGCCATCTCTACGGTAATGTCTCAGTTCAGCCATCTCTACGGTAATGTCTCAGTTCAGCCAACTCTACGTTAATATCTCTATTCCAGTTTATTACAGCTGTATGGTATTTGAATTAGCTGGCCGCTCTAATGCTTACTGTCCCATAATGATCTGCGTAGAGTTGTGTTTGTCGACTATTGCTCTTCTCCGATGAACGTAGGGGCCGCGTAAGCGCAGTCGATAGGAGACTCGCTTTCAAATCCAGCTTCGACTCGCTGCAGCCCACAGTCGGTGTTCGAAACAGGGCGGTTCCTGGAGTTTCCCTAGCCCCTAGGAAATGGGTACCAGTGTTGACACTTTGGGGTAAATGGAGGACGGCAACACAGGCGGGCAGTTTCTTATCAACTGTCTGTACTGGTGGCAGAGCCCTTATGGTTTAAAACCGAGTGCAATATCACTGGTTCACATCTCCGGACTTTATTTTTTGAACTTTACCTTGACTTTGAACCATACCATCTAATACATTTTTTTTTTTTTTTTTATTTTTTTTATTAAGTTTATCATGTCCGAATTATTTCAGTTTACGACAAACATAAAGACAGTCAATGAAATAATATCAAAGAAAAAAATATACTTTCATAAAATGTAAATTTTATTTTCATCATTAGTATCACCAACTTTAACAGCACCGGAAACCCATATCAGATTGTATAAAAAGACAGGACGAGTATTGCATTTCGAGTACTCACAGATGACAACACAAGTCTCATAATTTACTTGCCACTATTACATTACAAATGCATTGCTTTCATAACATTTCACAGCTTCTTGTAAATAGCAAACGTCTCACCATTTACATACGTTTATTACAAAAAATGTGAGGAAAATCTGGTTACATTCCTTACCAGGGGCCGTATAACGTCTTTAGAGTATTGATCGAGCATGGTAGAGGACCGTTTCACCACACCTTCGAGCTTATTGGACATATAGATTTAGACTTTTATTTTATATGCCAATAGACACTTTGTGGGTGATGTGGTCAACATCACACCGGCCACTTTTACTTCCCAGAAATTCACCTGGCACCTTTTTTAAGGCTGGGTCAACTTGGAAGCGAAGGTCATAATTTAAAAAGTGTATCAGTCTTGACCCATGTTGACCCATCTATTTATAGCTGCCTCAACTTCCCAGAACTTTACCTGGTATCCATTTTAGGCTGGATCGACCTGGGTGCGAAGTTAATTCTGACTCGATGCGATACTGAACCCAGGAGCTTCGCATCCATATTGGAACATATAGCCTCTACGCCACGGCGGTTCTCGGCGTATCATAGTGCCTACACTAATCTAGCTTGCTGACCGTGTAGCTGGTAAACAGAGAGAGTAACAGAGATCGTTCAAATCCCTGTATACGAAACACAGAAACAGGCACTTTTTCACAGTTTATACCTCATGTGTATATTATGTTGGTACCATCTAGGCGTGCTTGGAACTGGTCCCATGTCAGGGTAAGCTATAACTACACAAGTCAGAGGTGATCTGTCGCCTGTGCGACGAAGCAACAAGTAAAATAAAAAAGATTGAAAACTATACATGGAGAAAAGGATGCAGGGGGCAGACGGAGCTAATATGGGCTTGTATTGAATGGTATGATACATGATACCTCACCTCTACAAAGCAAGGTACAAGAGAATCAAAATCAGATGATACAGTCAGGATACACCCTTCTCCTCAAACAAATACCGTTTGAAATTGCCCTAGCCCCTTCAAAGTGCAAGGGATAATTAGTTTCACTTCAATGATTTTAATAGGTCTGTGTGAACAAAGAATGGCAGCATTGACTCAATTATTCGACGCCATTGTTTCAGCTTTATGACAAGGCACATAATATTTAACCATGTATGTGTCTGCTTGTGTACATTCCAATAAACATATATTTGTTTCCGTAGAGAACCATTTAAAAGTTATATGTATTTCGTTTATTCTTTCTTTATTCAAACAAAAAGACCTCTGTCACAATATTAGCACACGGGCCATGTTGTGCTATAGTTACATTCTTAATTTATAATATCTGACGTGACCAACATCATACCGGCCTCTTTATTTTCCAAGACATTTCCTGGTACCACATTTTGACTGAGTGGACCGAGGGGCTATAGGTCAAAAATACACACCACGACTGCAGCCAGTGGCTATCACAGTTGTCTGCGGCCCTATAATGTATTCAAATTCTTCTTCTTAGTATTGAACGGCTGTAAAAGGTCAGGCGGAAAGTTCTGGTTGTTCGTCTAGTTCTGGACTTTAGTCTTGTTCCAGAAATTTAGTTTTACGTAACACCCCTTACACAGATCGGGCTTCTTTGTTTGCTAATTGCTGATATGTCGCCTCTCAGGTAGACGCACCTCAGCGATGAAGCAATCACCCCTAAATTGTTGCTTTTCACGACAAGCTTCTTCAGGGGTCAATAGGTCTATTCACTCCCCGCCTCCCCTCCCTAAACTGGGCCCCGAAACTTCACACAGGGGAGATTATGTATTAACATTATTTCATCGATAAAGGTTGTTCTCGTTCTGTTGATATAGGTACCAAGGTCGATATAGTATAAACAGAACATTAGGGGATTTCTCGAGAACCAAGGCGTCGGATCATATTGACCACATCAGTCCAGGGGCAGAAAAACATCGGGTCACGTTTATCATGCTCTAAAAGTCACAAGATCAAACATGGTCATAATCAACGGCAACAGTCCAGAGGCAGATAAACATTGGATCAAGTTTATCATGCTCTAACAGTCACAAGATCACACATGGTCATAATCAATAACAACGGTCCAGAGGCAGATAAACATTGGATCAAGTTTATCATGTTCTAACAGTCACAAGATCAAACATGGTCATTAACTAGGACAACAGTCCAGAGGCAGATAAACATTGGATCAAGTTTATCATGTTCTAACAGCCACAAGATCAAACATGGTCATTAACTACGACAACAGTCCAGAGGTATATAACACTGGGTGAAGTTTACATGCTCTAAAAGTCACAAGATCAAACATGATCATAACATTTATATTAAATTAAATCAAACAACAAACGAGCGAACAACGAATCGAACGCCCCAAGTAGACACGAGGCAATATTCATGAAAGAGAGCTGGGTAGTGATTAGCACATGTGTTAGCAAACTGAGAAAGACAATGCGGAGATGGCACGTCAAGTGACAAGGAAAAACAACAAAAACAGCGCTAATTGCGCTGTAGTCGGATTTCAAACTGACCAATGCTGTTCTCCATAAGAACTGAGAAATGGGGTGGGTGTTGTGATTTAGGCTGATACTTGTCTGGCCAACCACAAAAGCCACTGTTATATAAGTTGCTTTGCGTGTGTTCGCTTGAAGTTCTTCGAAGCAACTTTGTGAAAGGCAACAAATTCTCTCTTAGGCGTATGGAGTAAGTGTTGCAATATGTGAGTCAACAGGAGAATCACGGCAGTTGTGCGTGATGACTGCAGACACCCAAGTCAGGGACCCGTCTGTTGGAGATATGGACATTATGTATATTCGAACAACGTTCCAAATTCGTACCTAGATGCAAACAAGCTAGTACTCGTTCATGGTTGCTGACTTTTACAGCAGTTAATTTTAATCGAGTAATAGTAATAACATAATAGCTAAACAAATCATACTTGTCTTGGCGCTACATACACAAAGGCACAAAGTAAACCTTATGGTTCAGCTGGTTTTAAACCACTTTGATCACATAGGGCAACATGGTGCTGGACTCAAATTGTACAGACAATTCGGCGCTTGATATGTGGTGTGGTCAAAGTCATATCCGCCTTCTTTACTTTCCAGTACCTATTTGATGCTGGGTAGACCTAGATGTTATGGTCAGTTTTGAAAAGCAAATACTAGTCTGATTCAATAAGGTTTCGAATTCAAGACATTAGGGCCAAAGAAGAGCTTTTAGCCGTTACGATATTACGGCTCTCCTTCAAATAGAAGTTGCCTTGATATAATAATTCTAAGGCGAAAGCAGTCATTGCCGTCTGTTGATACATATTTGTTTTCAAAGGCGCCGTCAATTACAATACAATCAAAGGCATATTCGTGTTATATTAATGATAAAATAATACAACAGTATATATGCTGTGATACTCAAAATGTCAAGACAATATAAAATAATGTGCCACGAGGTCAATGAAGCGACGACATAAGGTAATAAATAGAAAACATAGTGTCAAATATCTGAACAGGTAAGTGTGTATCACAAATGCATGTAAACAGAAAACGTCAACTTTAAGTCAGTAACATGAGTCAGCTGATGCTCATTAACCGTGTATAGATGACCATGTTGGCGCTGATTTCAATGTGCAGAATGTCACGCTAGCGCTGATGTCAATTGACCAGATGACCGTTAAATGATCTGAAGTGTTTAGACCGTTTTAGCCTTCACGGAGAGGTCCATATTTGAGTAAGTAAACGTGCCTTACTTTGGTCACTTCGTAAGTTAGGCGGAATATGAGGTTTCATCGCCAGCGGTCAAACACTCAAGAGATGATTACAAGGCAAATTGGTCCATGCCGTAACCATCTGTTGCTTGGAGATGCGCAATGATTTGGTAGGAAGATGATTTGAAGTCTCAATTTCAACGAGAGAAGAACCGACCGATGATGTTGACTTTTTTCTTTCTGAATTTAAGAGCGGAGAATACAACATGCTCGAAAACTTCTTTCAGACCGTCTTTTCTTTTAGCGGAGCACTCTATGTAGCAGTCGGCTCCAATAGCTTTGGCCATTGCCTCGCCTTCTTCTGTGGAGACTTCTCCTTCGTTGCCGTTGCGAAGATCAATCTGCGTGCCTACAAGTATGACGGGTCGTCTGCGCTTTGTATGTCTTTTTATCTCCGGGATCCAAGAGTTACAGACGCTGGAGAATGAACTTCGATCTTTTACTGAGAAACACAGAACCAGAACTTCGCTTTCTTTGTATGTGTACGCTCGTAGGTCTTCAAAGTCACTCTGTGAAGGAAACAAAATAATTATTTAATTAGTTATCAGCTGTATGAATATAGTTTCACAGCAAAATTGTCAGAATGTCACGAACGATTTTAAGTAAAAATAAAGAACGACTGTAACAATATTAACAAGGCGGAGAAATGGATAGACCTATGATTTTTAAATAAATTGGCAATGAACTGATGGCATGGGCCGTATCACTATGGGTCTACATTAGTTCACAAGAATTCCCCTGGATGTCCCTGGATATTTCCTGCTGCCCATCTGTTTTTAACATCTAATAGTGGAAGGGTGTGGAAGGTGGGGGAGGGGGGGGGGCAACCAGGAGAGGGTGCATATAAAGCATCAACTTTGAACTAACCTTTTTGATTGTACAACCTAGATATGTCAATATTACTCTAGTACTTATAAACGTTCTGTAAAACACTGATAAAATGCAGATGCAAGAAAACAAGTAATTGACTAACATTATTACATTAAGAATAATAGATCTGATTTGTAAGATTTAAAAAACAGAAAGGAAATCTAAGGGCCTTCTATATGTGGTTCTAACCTGATAAGGTGTTTTGTGTGTGTGTACTAAAATGCGGGATGCCATTTTTAGTTACTTGAGGCCTCATCCTGGCTTTTGCCCTAAATATAGATGGGCCATAAATATAACCAAGACAGATGAAAGGGGTTTCTGGGACCTCTCCACGGCCGATCCTCATCCGATGGTTGAAATTTGTGTCACCGAGTGTTTATCGCTTGTGTAATGTCCTGGTGTCGGCTCTGTGGCTAAGTCGATGCGAACGCTTCGCTTCGAAATGCTGAGGTGTTGGGTTCGATCCCAGTTGCGGGCAATGCGCCTTGCGTTGGTTTCGACAGTGGTATCAATAAAGCCGACCGTCCAGAAGCAATGGCAAACTACTGGACGTAAATTTACCAAGAGAAACCACACAACAGCCAGGGGCTGTTAGGGTTGGTTCTGCAACGTCCTGTAAAGGATACGCAACTAACTTTTTTTTAAATGTCCTGGTGGGGTACAACAAGCAAGCAAGCAGTAATTTGTTATTTGGGCGGTTTCTCCGAGGGGGATAACTGTTAACGAAGACATTTTTTATAAGCACAGTTTAAATTGAAATTTCTTTCCCCTTTAAATAGCCAACATGTCAGTAAGGTGTGTTATATTAGAATGATTGCGGACATCAAAAATTAAACAAAAAATACCAAAGTCTTAACGATGGTGCATCAGGTAAAAGATGTCAGACTATATGTGTATAGATCAGCGGACCTTCAATGGATTTTGTGGTCAATATCATGCCGGCAGACTTTACTTTCCATATATTTCACGGTACCTGTTTTAGGACTAGAAGCGAAGGGCATTTTTTTTTTCAAAATCCACCCAGAACTGACTGTCTTTCTTTTTCTAATTGTTCACTGGCGGTAAACTCGTGCGGAATGTTCTCGTTCTTTGTCCACTTCTGAAGTTGAGTTATATGTAAACAAGTGTGTGTATGTGCAGACTGTTGGTTCCTTTCCTGTCAGGTAGACACACTTTAACTTCGAAAGAAGAACAGATAACTAGTCGCTTTGTACAACATGTCTGTTAGAGGCCCTGGGTCCTCCCACCCCCTCTACATTCACCCCCCAAAAAAATGAACCTGGAATATTCTCAGGAAAATGCACCAATTCATAATAAAGACCTTCAACCCAGCGGGCCAGTTTCTAACTACTACACCAAAGCAGCTTTCGACAATCCTTTAACATGCACTAAAACTGTACTTTCTAAAAAGTCATCTTAAGTATGTTTTCTTACCTGGCCAGCTGTATCAAAAAGACTGATGATAAAATCCTGGCCACCGACCTGTAGGGGCACTGAAATAAAAAGAAGAAAAAAATCTATGAAATCTAACGTGTTTGAGGGAAAACAATTTTATTACATACAAACACGCATGTATGTATATATATATATATATATATATATTCTATACCTATATATTTTATATCTCTCCTTCCCCCCCTCTCCTATATATATATATATACACACACACACACACAAACGCACGTGCACAGCCGAGTGATGGTCAACCTCCAATGTGCCACCATTTGGATGAAAACCCCACGTGCAGGCTCAAGAAACACGTTCAACCCTCAGGTTAAAATTGGACCGCCGATTTCAGACGGGGTGGGGATTCAAATAAATAAAAACAAAAGTGCGTCCCATTTTGGGTGCGACTTATGTTACATACGCACACACACACACACAAACACACACACACACACACACACATACATAAATATAGAATATTGTAATACCTCATAACAAGAATTCGATTATGACGAACACTGTTAGGGTCCTCCGGTTAGTACGACCTTTTAACACGTACTTTTGATTGTTCGGTACTTTTGAATTGGGGTCATATGTTGTTGAACTCATATATTCATAGACAACTAAGATCACTTGATGTCATCCACATCATCACCATCAATTTCTCCTCTGCCGTTTAGCGCCGAGGGATGGACAAGTTTGCGAACCATTGCTAAATGGACAGTGATGGCTATCGTCATTCTGTTTTGACGTAGAAGATCTTGAAAGTCATCAGTCCATCTTCTCCTAGGGCAGTGGCTCTCAACTTTCCTAATACGGTGACCCTTTAATAAGTTCCTCATGTTGTGGCGATCCCGAACCATTTTTTTTCCTCGCCACTTCCTAACTTCAGTGAATATGTGTTTTCCGATGGTCTTTGACGGCGATCTCTGTGAAAGGGTCGTTCGACCCCCAAAAGGGTCATTTGACCACAAAAGGGCGAGACCCATAGGTTGGGAACCCCTCTCTCAGGTCAAAACGTTTTTTTTATGGAAACTCACAGAACTATTTTAATTTTTTTTTAATTTTTTTATTTATTTAATTTTTTAGTTTTTTTAGTTTTTTTTTTTGGTTATTTTACCTACATTAAAAATCACAAAATGTGTAGAAACATTTTCACTTTAAAAAAAAATGATTATGATAATGATGATAATAATGACTTTAGTGGTACACAAAGAGTTAAGACTTCAGAATCTACTCACCAGGATAATTATCGAATACTGTTGCTGTGTAGTCATCGGTGAAAGATTTCTCGGTGTAGGACAACGTCAGACATGTCTTGCCAACCATACCATCGCCTAGCATGGCACAGTGGACATGCTTGTCAGTGACCTCGGCCATCTTCATGATAGACGCAGTCAATGATTAGATTTGCGAACTGAGTTAATGTAACGTCCGCTCCAAAGTGGCCAGAAATACCAAAGGCAGTCACTCTGATGGCTGAATTAACAACACGTGAAAGTGAACTGTAACTTAATTCCAATGCAGATAGTTCTGAAAGGCTAGCACCCAGCTGTTGGAGACAATCGAAGCGACGGTTTCATTTATATACAGTGGTCAAAAAAGTATGAGAGAGATAGAACAAAAAAAACTACCCAATGGAAATCTCTCGCGTCATGGAAGATCAGATCGATATCGGATCTGGTCCAGAATGGCGCGTAGTTGTCTGTCCTGCAGGCAGTGAAGAGAGATGACTGGCACCATTAGCAAGTTCTCGCCAAATAAGCTAGGAAATTGAACTGGCGATAATTACAAAAACAACACTGCTGTCCAAAATGCAGTATCGGAGTAATTGAGGGCTAGTCTGAAACAAGTCAATGTTTTAAAGTGTAGAGTCTCGACGATAACATTATGTGGAAGATGTTTTACTGTTGTTAACTGTTGAATAAACAGCAAACGTAGTATCCACATAATGAAGAACATTTTTTGTACTATTGTCTTATAATAGATCAATGAAGGGCTATTCCACTGCTGGCCCGCTGGCTTCATCTGACCCGCGGAGGACTAGCAAGTGGCCCGCGCCTT